CTTCAGGTGTTCATCTCTAAAACAGGAAGTGTTTCTACATTGTGTCTGGTAGTTACAGTTTGTGTATAAAATGCTGTGTACTGGTTTATGAGTTTGAAAACTTGGTCACTAGCCAGTGGGATTGTTTAAAGGGCTTGCGGAACCTTTAGGAAGTAGAGCCTTTAGATGTTTTTAGGTAGAGTAATTTAGGTAGTTTGCCACTAGAGACAAACCTTGAGAACTATAGCTTGTTTCCTTCAGTGCTCTGCACCCCTGATTCCTGGCTAGTGCCAAGTAAGAAGCCACCGCAACATCCTGAGGCCATGGGCTGACCCCCACATGCCTTCCCCACAGCTCCCACCTTGTTCCTTCTGTGATCTTGAAGACCAGTGTCTTGGCTCTGCTGCCAGATGCACTGAGCTCCCACAGTCATGGGCTGCACATGAGCTTGAGCTGAGTGCTTCTTAACACACACACTTTTTAAAGCTGTCCAGAGGCCGCACTCAGAGGGCGTGTGGGGTCAGCATTGTCCCTCACCTCACATTGGTGGACTTGTTCTTTCTGATGATCACAGACAGAGCCAGTGACGGGTGTATGGGACCTGATTTTTTATAATCATCTAACTTAGTCATTAAAACATATAGCCCATAGTCACGCATCTCATGACCAAGAACACACTTGAGGTAATGAAAAGTAAGTACTAGTGAAAGTGAAGTGGTTGCTGGTGGAAGACCCTTGCATTGCCTCCTGACCACTGCAGCTAACAGGTCATTCTACAGGGAGGGTTACTGCACACAGCACCCGGAGTGCGCCTTTGCTAAGACTGTCCCGAAACTCGCTTCTGCTTACTTTCTTCTGAGGTAAGCGCTCTGGAAATGGGACATAAATGCTGAGCCAGCTCCAAGGAGTGTTGCCTCCCTCACTATGACTCTCCTAACAGAGTAAAGTTGTTGCCATTCAAACTTTCTTCCCCTGCTTTGTCTTCATTTGAATACTTTGATGGTGACAAATGTTGATCCTCTTGAGAATACATCTTATTTTCTGTGAAGAGAGATTTTTTAAATGCTAATGCTAACTTTTTAGTTAACATGCAAAATAATGGAGCTCGTTTTGCTGTATATATATATGTGTGTGTGTGTGTGTGTGTGTGTGTGTGTGTGTGTGTGTGTGTGTCTGTGTGTATTATACTTGGCTCATATTCACCTTGTCAAGGCTCTCTCCCATCCTTCTACTTCCTCTCTCTCTCTCTCTCTCTCTCACACACACACACACACACACACACAGCAATTCATATTGCTAAATCTAGATTCTACATGAGATAAAATGTGCTGAATATGCTACCTTGTCTTCATACCATCACTCATTCCTGTTTACCCTCAGCTTCTACCCCCTCCACTCATAGCCTTTCTTGTGTGTTCTTGAAACAGACAGACAGACAAACAGACGATGGACAGATTGATTGATCGATTGATTGATCAATTGATTGGCTGACACGTTCTTCATATGAAAAGGAAACACATAATAGTCAGCTTTTGTAAGTCTAGCTTATTTCATTTAACATCATAGTCTCCAGTCCTATTCTTTTGAAAATGACATAATTTCCTCTTTCATGGAGGAATAAAACTCTATAGTGTGTGCATGCCACATTGCTTTGTATGCTCTTGTGAAGATGGACAGTCCAGGCTATTTCTATATCTCGGCTACTGTGCCTAATGCAGCCGTAAGCATGGTTGTGTAAGTATCTCTGTGGTGTGCCTACCTAGCTTCCTTCAGTTATGTTCCTGTGACTAATCTAACTGGATCATGCTCTAGTTCTGCGTTTAGGGTTTTTAAAATTATTATTTCATTATTTATTATTATTATTATTTACAATTTATTCACTTTGTATCCCATTTGTAGTCACGGCCCTCATCTTTTCCCTGCCCTACCCTCTCCCCTCTTCCTCCCCTATCCCTCTTCCCTGGTCCACTGATAGAAAAAGTCCTCCTCCCCTACACTCTGAACCTAGCCTTTCAGGTCCCATCAGGACTGCCTGGATCCTCTTCCTCTGTGAGCTGGCTGGGTCACCCCACCAGGGAGAAGTGATCAAGGAGCAGGCAACAGAGTTCATGTCAGAGACTGTCTCTTCTCTTGCTAGGGAACCCACATGGAGACTGAGCTGTCTATGGGCCACATCTGAGCAGAGGGTCTAGGTCCTTTATATGTATGGCCTTTGGTTGACGTATCAGTCTCTGTATTCCCCCCCAGGCCCTCCTGATTTTTTTGTTTGTTTGTTTGTTTTGTTTTGTTTCTTTGTTGGTCTCCTTTTGTGGCTCCTGTCCCATCCAGGTCCTTTTATACCCCCTTCTTCCACAAGACTCCCTGTGCTCTGCCCAAAGTTTGGTTGAGGTTTTAGTTTTTGAGGAAGCTCCATACTGATTTCCAATGTGGCTCTACAAGATTTAATTCCCAAAGACACTGCATACATGTTCCCCTTTCTTCACATTCTCGTTGGCATCAGTCATTAGTTTCCTTGGCAATGGCCATTCTGACTGGAGTGAGACAGAAGTTCACTGTAGTTTTAATTTACGTTTCCATGAGGGCTGAGGATGCTGAGCATTGTCCATGGCTAATGGCAGTTGCGTTGTCCATGGCCAATGGCAATGGCGTTGTCCATGGCTAATGGCATTGCTTCCTCCTTTTGAGAGCTGCTGTTCACTTCATTTATATCCTTTTGGAGGGTGATGTGTGGAGTCTGTTCAGTTTTTAGACTTCACAGATTCAGGCATTATCCCGTGTCTGAGGTACAGTTGGCAAAGATTTTTTTTTCTCCCATTCTCCACTCTTTGTTCACTCTGCTGTTTATTTCCTTTGCTATGTAGGTCTTTTCATTTCATTTGCCCCCATTTGCCAATTTCTGTAATTATTTCCTGAGCTATTGGAGTCCTTAAAAAGAGATCCTTAGGAGCTCTCTCTGTTTTACGTCTGTGAAGGTCAGAAGAGCTGGAGAAATCCGGTTTTTTTTTTTTTATCCAAACTAAAAGATTATTTTTAAGTGTGAAATGAGATCGTTCCCAAATAGAACATGCCCTAAGCAATGAAGAGCTACATGAGTGCAGAGCCTCCCACTACGATAACTAACAACAGCTTTCACTTCAGTTTGGGATTTGTTTGAAGAATAATAATAATAATAATAAATAGCATAAGGGTGGGAGAGATGGCTCCGTGCTAAGCTGAGTGTAGCTATGAGCTATGATCCCAGTGCTGTGTGGGCAGAGATGGAAGAGTAAGTAGGGCAGCCAGCCACCAGCCAGCCACCAGCCTAGCCTCCAACTTGAGTGAGTGACCTTGTCTCAAGGGAATAAGCCAAGAGTTGTCCTCCGCTGGCCTCCAGCCATGCACAGGTGTGTACACCCACACAGACAAACTCACTCACACCACACTCACATATAACACTATCTGAAAATAGCAGCAGTCATATACTCTCTGACTTCCGTGTTTTGCATCCAGATAAGGGTCTATAAAGTAAAGAAGAATTTTATCAAGAAAATATTTGGTAAACATTTGCTCAAGGACTCTTTCCAAATACAAGATAGTATTAGGACATTATGGGAATACGGGCTGTCTCTGACATGAACTCAGTGGCTGGCTCTCTGATCACCTCCCCCTGAGGGGGAAACAGCCTCATCAGGCCACAGAGGAGGACAATGCAGCCAGTCCTGATGAGACCTGATAGGCTAGTTGACTTGGGAGGGGCACGGGAGGAGATGAGGGAGGCAGAGTGGCTTTGGGAGGGGTTGGGAGAGGGGACTATAGCTGGGATACAAAGTGAATAAACTGTAATTAATTTAAAAATTAATATAAAAATTCAAATGTGATGGGTTTTTTGGAAGGTGGATAGTAAGTGAAGCATTTGGTTACTGTTTTTTACAGGTTGCTTGATAGTTTTATAATGCTGATGTTTAAATGATTGTCTCGTTGCTGTGGAGGATTTATTGAGGCTTTCTTGGCTGATTATTTTGTTTTCAGATCAGTTGACCATATTATAATTAGCAAGATAAACTGGCATCCTTAAGAATTTTCAAAAAATAAATGAGATGGTTTAAAGTAAAAAAAGATAAAAGTCAAATTACTTTTCTAAGCTTTCTGCTTAAGTGTCACAATAAATAAAGGCACATAAAGTGTGCTTTCGGCGAGGTGGTAGTCCACCCAACAGCAGAGTGCATCATGGAGCTGCAGTGCCCAGGAATTAAGCTCAAGGCTAAACTTAATTTTTTTAAGTGTGTAATAAATCTTGTCTTGTTGAGCACTTTAATTCCAAGTGGTTTTTACCAGTTATTGATCATGTAGATGGATGGCAGAGCCATTTTGCCCAAAATGGAGTTTTGTATTGCATAAGTTCAATGTTTCATGTATTTATCTTCTCCCTGTCTTTGCGGTTGCTTGATTTTATCTTTTCTCATCATTTAATGCCTGTAAAGACATATGGGAAAGACAATGTAATGGAGAAAAACTGGAGGCAGGAGAATATTTAAACAAAGCTGTTGAAGTAAAAGGATGGGCTGTTTACGAAGGCCTGGGTGAGGGCACTAGTGACCAAACTCTAAGGACAAAAGATGCAAACACTGTAGCAAAAGGTAAGGTGGCCGATCAGTCTTGCGACGCTGTGCGTTCTGCAATGGGCAAGCTGAATGGAAATAAGAGCCCTGTGGGAAAATTTTATTCTGGTCATTTGGTCTGCACCTACTCAGTTAGATCTTAGTGTTTAGCCTTTAATATTCTAGGTATTTGTTTTAAACATCCATTATTCTTGCACCCAACTACCTTATGGACAGGGAATTTAAGAACAGTGGAAAATTACCATATAAATAGATGTACAAAGAGTCATTTAGAAACAGCTTTATTGAGATGCAGTCTTAAACTGTGTGACGCAAGGGGGTGTTTTTGTATAGTCACAGTTGTGTGGCAATTAGAAAATTTTATTTTAGAACATTTTTGTCACCCTGAAAGAAACCCTGTGCCTATCACATAGGCCCCCCCTTTCCTCCTTCCTCAGTCACCCTCAGGAACCACTTTGAGATGGTGAAATCTGTAGCCCTCCGTAACTGGCCTCTTCCAGTTAAGGTTTTCAAAGTTCACCGGCATTGTAGCCTGTAGCCGTATCCCACTACTTCACCCGTTGCCAAATAACCCAGTGGTAGATGCTGGGTTCTTCCTGCACGCTCATTTCTCTGAGTAAGGATTCCCCTACTAACATCCAAGTGCAAGTTTGCATGTTGACACATGTGCTCATTATTCTTGGGTTTGTTTCACTGGATAGTAGGGGTGGGTCGTGAGTTAATTCTGACCACTCCAGGAGCTGCCAGACCCTTCACAGTGTTTGGTCCACTTGCTGTTTCCATCTGGAACACATGCATTTCCAGCCTCTCCTCGCCTTCAACAGCCTGGTGGACACATAATTGTGATTTTTTCATTTATTTATTTATTTATTTATTTATTTAGTAACTTTTATTAATTACACTTTATTCACTTTTTATCCCCCCATAAACCCCTCCCTCCTCCCCTCCTAATCCCACCTTCCCTTCCCCTTCTTCACGAATGCCCCTCCCCAAGTCCACTGATAGGGGAGGTCTTCTTTTCCTTCCTTCTGATCTTAGTCTATCAGTTCTCATCAAAAGTGGCTGCATTGTCATCTTCTGTGGCCTGGTAAGGCTGCTCCCCCCTCAGGGGGAGATGATCAAAGAACAGGCCAATCAGATTATGTCAGAGGCAGTTCCTCTTCCCATTACTATGTAACCCACTTGGACACTGAACTGCCATGGGCTACATCTGTACAGGAGTTCTAGGTTATCTCCATGCATGGTCCTTGGTTGGAAGATGAGTCTCTGGAAAGACCCCTGTGTTCAAATTTTCTGGTTCTGTTGCTCTCCTTGTGGAGTTCCTGTCCTCTCCAGATCTTACTCTTTCCCACTTCTTTCATAAGATTCCATGCACTCTGCCCAACAGTTGGCCATAAGTCTCAGCGTCTGCTTTGATAGTCTGCAGGGCAGAGGCTTTCAGAGGCCCTCTCTGGCAGGTTCCTAACTTGTTTCCTGTTTTCTTCTTCTTCTGATGTCCATCCTCTTTGCCTTTCAGGATGGGGATAGAGCATTTTAGTCAGGGTTCTCCCTCTTGATTAGTTTCTTTAGATGTACAGATTTTAGTAGGTTTATTCTATATTATATGTCTATATGAGTGAGTATATACTGTGTGTGTCTGTCATCAAAATAAAACAAATGCCTACAGATTGGGAAAGAATCTTCACCAACCCTCTATCTGACAGAGGGCTAATATCCAGTATATATAAAGAACTAAAGAAGCTGAAAAGCAATAAACCAAGTAATTCAATGAAAAATTGGGGAAGAGAGCTAAACAAAGAATTCTCAATAGAGGAATATCAAATGGCAGAGAAACACTTAAATGTTCAACGTCCTTAGTCATAAGGGAAATGCAAATCAAAATGACCCTGAGATGTCACCTTACACACATCAGAATGGCCAAGATCAAAAACTCAAGTGACAACACATTGCTGGAGAGGATGTGGAGAAAGGGGAACCCTCCTCCACTGCTGGTGGGAATGTAAACTGGTACAACCACTCTGGAAATCAATCTGGCGCTTTCTCAGACAACAAGGGATAGCGCTTCCTCAAGATTCAGCCATATCACTCCTAGGCATATATCCAAAAGAGACTCGAGTACATAATTGTGATCTTATCTTGGCTTTGACTTATGTTTCCCTGATAATGAGTAATACTGCGAATCTTTTTTATGATTGTCAGAAATGTGTGTCTATTCTTTGGAGAAGGATCTAGTCAGAATTTCTGCTCACATTTAATTATTTTTCTGTTATGGAGTCATCAACATTATGTATTTTTGATATTCTGATTTATTATTTTCTTCCATCGTCTGTTTATTATTTTTCCTTGTTATCTGTTGTTGTTTTTATTGGTATATGTGTTGGACGTATATATGTATATACATACATATATATGCATGTACATATTTTATTTCTTCTTTATCCTGATAAAGGCGCCAGTGCAGTGTTGAACAAGAATGGTGGATGTGGATGCCTCTTTTTTCTAATCGTAAGAGAAGGTTTTTCTCTATTAAGTACAACGTTAGTTGTGGGGTTTGTGCAAATGTGTTTTATCTGGCTGAGAAAGTCTGTTTCTGTATCTACATTATTAGGTATTTTTATCATAAAATAGGTTCAATCTTGTCAATTTTTTTTTGCCTGTTGAGATAAAAATGTAAATTTTGTTCTTTATTCTGTTTGTATTAGCCAGTTTGTCTAACATTTTAACCAACTTTGGATTATAAAAAAATCTTACTTGGTTATCTTGTATAAATATGTTTCTATACAACTAGTTTGAACTTTCTAATATTTGTTGAGGATTTCTGCCTTGTAATCATAAAAATCAATCTACAATTTCCCTAGGGTTTTCTGTCTACTTTTTGTACCTGACTTGCACTGTCCTTAGAAAGGGCCCTCTCTCCTACGTTGGAAATGTTTATGTAGAAAGGATATTAACTCTTCTGTATGTGTTTGACAGACATTACCAGCCTGTCCATCTGGAGCTGGGCAGTTCTTTTCAGCGATATAATGCAGTATTCACTGTTTGATCTCTTCTTAAGATGCCATAGATTATGTGTTTGTCTTGAGTCAACTCTGTGTCTTAATACCAGGTTCATCTCAGTTCTAACTCGTTGGCATACAGTTGGTTCTTTCTAGTATTTTTTGTACTCATTGTTCCTGTGAGGTGGGTAATAATAACATATAACTACTGGTGTAGATAATTTGAGTCTTCTTCCTTTAAAGTCATTTTAACTTTCACTAAAGTTTTATTTTGCTAACATTTTCAATAATGTTTTGCCTTACTGACTCCCTCTATTTTTCTGGCTTATAAATTTCCATAATGAGCTGTTGCTTCACTCTTCCTGATTGGTTATTTTGTTCTTGCTTGCTCTTCTTCTTTCTCTACTGCCTTAAAAGGAAAGCTCTGTCGCTGATTTGAAATATTTTAATATTGCTCTTTTTAGCTACATTTTTTTCTTAAATGCTACTTTGACTGCTTCCCATAACTTCAGTATGCTTAATCTTCATTTTCATTAGTCCAAATTTATTTCCCTTGTGGTTTCTTCTTTGACCTATGTGTCATTTGTCACCACTTTTGAGTTTTCTTACTAGTTATTTTGTGGCATGTGTATCTTTCCTGCTCTGTTGCTCACTGTAATGTTGTCCTAGAGAGCAAGAGCTCACATCCAGTCAGTGTCAGCACACATGAAGACAAGGTCTGTCTGATGGTTCTGTTGTCCATGACACAGTTGGAGTACCATTCACACAGCAATGGAGTTGAGTATGGCTGGAAAAATGCCCTGTTTTAGAGACTGGAGAGTTGGCTCAACAATTAAGAGCCCTTGTTACTCTTGCAGAGGACCTGAGTTCAGTTTCCAACATACGCGTGGGCAGCTCAGAAGCGTCTGCTAACTCATCACATCCCAGAGAATCCAATACTCTCTTCTGACCTCAGTGGGCACCAGGCATGCATGTGGAGCACAAGCGAAGACAGAACACGCACGTCCCCAAAATAGTCAAATAAATTGATTTTAAAAGGAAATTTAAAAATTTAAATGTCCTGTTTTAACATTTATATTATTATATTAAATATTATAGAAAACAGTTTTATAATAGTTTTCTGGCAACGGAAATTAAAATGTCTTTTTAAAAAAGAGGCACTTTCTAAATCACACAGAAAGAATATGGTCAAATTACTTTACAGCTCTTTCTGTCCTATTCTCTTCATAGATGACATCTGTGCCCTCCTGAAACTCAGTAACACATAGCTCTTTTCTCTGCAATTCAGTGAAAGGAGCATCTGCTGTTTCTCTACTGTCTAGCCCAAGAGTCAGGAGTCACAAGACCCACGGAGCCCTACAGAAACTGAATTTTAAGTCTTCAATTATTCATCCTTAATTTTAAATTGCCCCAGCTAATGGTTCTCCAATTGATTGATCCAGTTATCACCTCTTTGACAGTTATCCCTCCTTAATGCTGCATTGTTAAACCTTACCATGTGGAGGCATTCCCCAAGTCAGTGTAGAGAGTCTCAGATATGCTGGAAGTCCTGGAATGGACTGTGAGAATATGTTTTAAAAGATTTATTGTCCGTATGTGTGTCTGTATGAGCTTTGAAACTGGAGTTACAGAAGTTATGGGTCCCCCAGACATGGATGCTGGAATCTTCACTCTGTGGTCCTCGTGATTGAACACCAAGTACTCTTCACCAACAAACCCTGACTCTATCCTCATGGGAATATTTTTTAAAACATACTATCAGAGGTCTAACATTCAAGTTTAAGAAATCAGATATCTAGTCGAAGCAACCTGTGTGGGAACAGCCTGGAACCAGGAAGCACACAAAGCTGCTGGACCACAGAGGACTCCCTTCTCCTGGCTGGCTCTCACCCAAGCCCAGGCAAACCTTAAGGAAGACAGGGAGTTTCTCTTTCCTGAAGCAGGAAATGAGGGGCGGAAAAGCAGAAACCCTCAAAGCCTGGGAGTGGGGAGGAGGAAGAGTTACTTTATGCAGATAGTGCTGACTAAAGGAAATGAACCCGCTGCTCTCCATGGATCTTTTCACAGAGCTGACTTCTGAAAGTTTTACAGACTTACAGAATCTTCCCAGGGAGTGTTTGAAGTCATGAGATAGAGGATTCTATTATCCTCATCTCTCAGTAAGGCATACCTTTCTATTTCCCAATAAGGTTCTTCAGATATGCATTGATGAAAGCCAAATTGTTCACAGATAAAACAGACATAGCCAAAATATCTATCTTCTGAAATAAAATATGATGTTAACAGAAAGAGAGGGTGGGGCTTTTGGGTTTTTGGTTGTTTTTTGTTTTGTTTCGTTTTGTTCTTCTTTGGTTTCTTTTTCTTTCCTTAGAACAAAAAAGTAAGTACTCAATGCCAGATCAGTATCTATTCCCATATTAGCATGCACAGTAAATAATATTTTACAGTGTGATTTGTCATAAGTAATATGGTGAATTTATTATCCCAGATACATAAATTTTTTTGCTAACTTAATGTAATTAAATCCTATACTCCAGAACCTCTGACATTTAGCATTTTCTTTTCTCTGTGATCGTCTGATTCCTATATCAGAAACAAAATAAGGAATTCAATGTTCATTCCCAAACCATCATGGGATAAAAACATGTCTCTGTGGATGGATCTTGGAAAATCAGTGCCCCGCCCCCACAGGAAAGCTGCCAGGAGGAAAGTTGAACGTCACATTAGCTTGACATTGTGAACAAGAATGAAGCCCATGGGTAAATTCAGTTTCCCTGCAGGGGAATTAATGCTGCTTCATCCATTTGTCCACAGGTCATAGATCTGTACTGGGGAGTTCACGAAGATGAATGGGACAGCCCCGAGCTGCAGAAGATGCGCATGAAGCTGTTGGAAGAGTGCTTGAAAACTTCTGCAGGTCCATGCTTTGTTGTGGGTATAAGAACACTAATGTTTTCTACTAAGTCGTGAGAATGTGAGAATGTGCGCTGACTTGTGGGGGTTAGGTTTTGAGGTTTTGTTCGTTCTGTTTCTTTGTGCCAAGAGAAAGACATCTTAACTATTTTAAAGAAGTTTAACTATCATCTTATCCACATGTGAAAAAAAAAAAAAGAAAGAAAGAAAGAAAGAAAGGAATTCTTCAGCTTCTCACAAGACATGTTATAAATTAATAGTGACTATTTAGAAATGTTTGTGGATGGAATGACTTGGAGTTGACCAATTTCCTACCTTTCTGTGGGTCAGCAATGAGGATGATTCTCTCAGTCCTGCAGTAACCAGCACAGCTTTCCTGGTGCGGCTCCATGATATGTTTCATCACGGTATCTTTTTATTCCCCTAGTATTAAAAGGCCCGGCATTTCTTTAAACACAGTGGCTGAAAGATTTGTAAAGTAAAACAAATACATTAGTCAGTCAAACCCGACAGGAAATAGTGCCTCCTGGGTTTGTGATCTCACTGTAAGTGTTACCATGTCAGCAGTGACTTTTCAAGAACATCACGGTCAGCTAGGTGTGCTTTTCCGAAGGTGGCATGCTCCTCTGTGTAAACATGGTGGCAGTGACGAGCTGTTCTGTAGTGGGAGACTGTGCAAAATCACTTCCACGCCTTGCATAAGGAAGCTGTGTCTTGAATCCAGAGCATTTCCCTCTATCCTTGGCCGAGGAAACAGGGGATGCTCTGAGGCGTGACAGTCACGGTGGGAAGAGAGGCAGCCCGAGGGCAGACCTGGCCTGGAGAAGTCGTTGAGAGCTTACACAATGAGATGACAAAAAACAAGGCAGAGTGAGAGAGCCAAGTAAAATGCATGAGGCTTTGAAACTGCAAAGTATACCTCTCCCACCCCCCCTCCAATGACTCAACTCCTCCATCAAGGCCACACCTCCTCTAACGGTGATCAGGAAATATTCAGAGAGAGGAGGAATTTGCTGTTAATGACCATGAAAGGAAAATGGGATGGGTAGGAGAAAACGGTGGGAAAGAAGGAGGCTGATATTCTAGGTCAGAGATCTCCAAGGAATCCGTCCTCAGACATGTCCTTGGCATGTTCAGGGAAGTCTGGCCACTGTTCATGAGTGTGAGCAAAGGAGTGAGTTGTAGGAATGAGGGGAAATGTCTTGAATGTTGTACATATTGACTGTATATCCTTATGGTCAATCTAATTAGGAGCTGTCAGTTTGGCAGAGAAAATGATATTAAGAGAAAGAAAGTCAAAGAAATGTGTTGGTCAATGGAAAGACATGATCCTACTGAACCTTAAGAAGCACCTCGCTGTGGTCCAGGGTGGGCTGAGGCATGCAGAGCTGAGAGAGCGTCGCAATGACACAAAGGTGAAACACCTGGAGCAAGAGTTTGCAGAACAGATGTGTGAAAACAGTGACCCAAATCACCAGCTGCACCACCGCTGTGGTTTTAACGAGAAGTCTCCCCCAAAGGCTTGCTTTGTCCCCAGTTGGTGATGCTGTTTGGAGATGTTATACAACTCTTAAGAGGAAATGTGTCACTAAAAAGAAAAAGGAAAAAAAAAAAAAGAGTTGAGAGTGTACAGCCTTAGCCTACTCTCAGTTCACTTTCTCTGCTTGAGCTCATGGTTAAGGTGTAGGCAGCTTACTTCTCCTCCTGCCATGCCTGCTGCTTGCTGCTGTGATTCCCCACTGTGATAGATCCTCATCCTTCTGGAACCATAAGCCAAAACAAACTCCTTCTGTAAGTCGCTTTTGGCCGTGGTATCTTTCACAATCACAAAATACGTGATATAGCTGTCCCCAAAGTAAATGACACAAGCCACTAAAGAATACTAACATAGGGCAGGTGTGAGAGAAATTCAAACTCCCAAACATAGGTCACGCCAAATTCCTTTATGCTCAGAGAGCTAAATTTGAGAAGCCCACTGCTGTGTATACCTCAGGGCAGCTCGGAGGCCATCTTCTCAGTAGCTCTGTGTAAACCCAGCCTAAGAAAGTCCAAAGTTACAGACATTTCTAGAATGCTGTGCCTCAAGTAACATTACCTATAGCTATTAACTTCAATACCTTGCTAAGTGGGAGGATGAATAATTTAAAGACTAGAAGTTTAGCAGGTTCTGAGACTAAGGTTTACTAACTGCTTTCCTGGGTCTGAACCAATCATCTACTGCTCCTTCATCCCTTTGTTACACGTTTAAACTCATAGCAGCCATGAGGAAGGCCTGCAGAGAGCTGATGGACTATTTACCCTAATGATCCTAAATTACACAAGACTGGCCCAGTGTTTACAGGAGAGAGTACATCCCATAGCGGTTCCTGTTGTAACTATGGTAACTACAATGATAAAGGCACACTTGTGCCACTCATGAGGTACCGTTTCCTTGTCTCCATTTAGATATTTCCACAAACCCTGGTGCCCTGTGGGATACAAAGCCTAAACGATAGTTTCCTGAATGCTAAAGACTTTTGCAAGAAAAAAAATGAATGAATGAATAATGAAGTGAATGAAGAATGATTTTATATCTTTAGAAATACTAGCTTGTGTTAAATAGGGAAAATTCCAGGGCCAGGCAAAGCTTTCATTGGAAATAGCCAGGAGGCCCAGGGAACAGTGGGCTGAAATTCTAAATGTACTTGACTCTAAATTTTATGTCCATTGACACACAAGCCATGCTACTGATAGCAGATAGCTATTTTTACATGTTTTTATTACATGAAGCACAAAAGGCTAGAGCTAGGGTGTTGATCCTGCCCTCAGAGATTCACTCAGGAGACCTCGAAGGGAACAGACACCAGCACTGAAGGAGGTGGCATTTGCATAATGACTGAAGGGGGAAACAGTCCCCAAAGCCCCCAGGTTTCCTTTCTGCAGAGGTTCCCCTCTGGTTCGGACAGGTGAGCAGAGGCCTCACTGTGATTTGCTACCTCCATAAAGACTGGGACATAATATCAGAAGAAGCAACTGCAGAGACTTACTGTGAGGCTCAGCCTGCCGGTGCACACCGGAATCTTCTATAAAGTATAAAGCTTTACCGTCTCTATTGCCAAACTGAGCTTGCATGTGTGGTGAACAGTGTCGTACTGAACACGGTTCTCTTTAAAAATGTTACTGATAAATGGCATTTTCATTTCCAGTGTGCAGCTCACAAGTTCCATCTTCAATCATTATAGCATAAAAGCAATATATATAAAAGCGAGAATTACAATGAGATTATATCAAATTAAGTTTCTTCACAGAAAAGAAACTTTACACAGAATAAAAGAAACTATTCCCCTGCTATTAATCCAATATAAGGTAATCAATCAGAACTTGCTTTAAATTTTTAATATAATCCAAGTGATATGCTAAATGATCTCAATAGATACTCCTTAAAAGAAAAAGGTCACATGACTGATGAACATGCAGAAATGCTCAGCACTGTCAGTCATTAGTGGATGCAAATAAAGTCTACAATGAAATTTCATCTTATTTTAGTTAAAACGTCTGTTGTCAAAAGGAAGTAAATAAAATTACCGATGCTGCCATCAGCGTGGAGTGGAAGGACCCTTAAACATCGTCGGTAGGAAAGTAACGAGGGCCAGATGCTATGGAAAATGGCCAGAAATTTCGAGCACAGACACCAGCAGGGCTCTTACCTCCTGATGGTTCTCTCACAGCCACTGGCCATTCCTGGACGAACCACCTCAGATGGACTCCACATAGAAGAGACATATTTCATTAAAGACCAGTGAAAGGACTCAGTCGGTCCCCAAAGCTCTTACTCCACAAGCCTGACTCCACGCAGGTGTGCCCTGGCCCCACACAGATGTCATATCAGGCACATGGGCTGAACTCTTCAGTCCATTGAAGTGTAAGGGATCTCCCTGGCATGTGCACCACACACGCACCACAAGGTGCCTGTTGCCCGCGGAAGTCAGAAGTGGGTATTGGATCCTCTGGAACTAGACTGAAGGATGGTTGTGAGCCATGGCGCGGGTGGTGGGAACCAGACACCCACCGATCCTCCGAAAGAACAGAGATTAAGGGGTGAGCAAGAGCGAGTGCTCTTAGCCGCTGGGCCATCTCTCCAGCCCCCTTCATCCGATCTCACCCCGTAATCTTTACCTGTCTGCAGAGAGCGGCAGTGCAAGCAGGGAGAGGCTCACAGCTGAGGCCATGGCTACCGTCTCCCTCAGCTTTCAAGGATAGAGTGAGTTGTTCTGCCTGTACCAAGACTGACACACTCAGCCGAACCCGAACCCCCATCGACACCACCCACAACACAGGAACAGGAGCCGAGGCCATACAGTGCTAACTGTCTCACCCCTAGCCTTCTTCCTCACATGCTTTCAGAGACGGGGGGGTGGGGGGGGACAACTCTCTTCTTGCCATCTTACAAACTTGTTGTAGCACAAAAGAACTACAGACACTAAGGTTCTTCTGCTAATGAATGATTTAAATGTCATCTCAAGAAGCCAGGAAAGGAAGATACAACATGCAAATGGAGGTCAGAAGGCCAAAAAACATAATTATCAACCGGAACAAGTTTTTTTAATATTTCCAGAAATCCTCAGCTATATGTGTGTCCCTAAAGATAAAAGGCTGATAGGATGTGTGACCTGGAAAAAGCCTTAGGTACGAAATTAAACAGTACCTAAGCAGTTTACAAATCTTGATGTTTATATAGCTGGAAACTGAGATCCAGAGAAGTAGAGGCAATCAGCCTTTTCCGAGTTCCTAAAGTTTGTGTGGGTTCTGGGAATCAAACCCGTGTCCTCATATTTGCACAGCAGACACTTCACCAACTTAGCTATCTCCCTAGCTCCCAAAACATAAGTCTCTTTATTTTTTATGTGTGTATGGTGCGATGTGTGTGTGTGTGTGTGTGTGTGTGTGTGTGTGTGTGTGTGCGCGCATATGTGTATGGGTCCACATGTATGCAGGAGTTCCTGCACACGCAAGCCTGAACAAGGTTGATGCTATGAATCTCTCAGGATCACTCTCTACCTTGTTCTTTGAAACACAATCTTTTGATTGAATCCAGAATTGCAGGTGGGCGTCTACGCAGACCTAGCATTTATATGGCATCTGAACATGCAGACCTCATGTTCACTAGACTAGCACCTCATCCGCTGAGCCATTTTCCTATCCCTAAGCAAAGTCTCTAGCTCCAAGTCCCACGTCATCCTACTCCAAGTTCCTACTGGCTTAATGAGACTCTGTTCAGGTTCATAGCCCACATCCATCTCCAGCAATCTGCTGCTTCTTCCTCTACAGGTGTACAGAAAGTTTATCATAGTGGCCTATCTTATTCTTGGTGTTCCTTCCTGGCATTCAATCCCATACAGCTGAATGATTCAGACAAAATAATCACTGGTCTAGTGAACAAAATACCTTTCTCCAGTAGAACTGAAGCCGTGTTGCCCATGGCTTTATTAAGATTACTTGGGTCAACTATTATTTTTCACAATAAATTTGGACGTTTTGTCTAATTTTCCTGGGCAGAGAAACCGGGAGCTTCAAAACCCTGCACTGCACAAGGCCAGAAATTCAAACTACAGGAACACAGTAAAGATTCCTTCTCCATGCCCACCCCCAACCCAGTACTTCCCTGGTATCTCTTTGTAATACGTAAGTCAACCAGCCAGAAGTCTATATAAGAGTCTAGAAAAGCACATTTCACAATGTTGTTCTTTAATGCACAGTTGACCACACAAAAGGCCCTGTAGGTTCTCTGATTTAAAAGTGAGTGATATACTAGGTAAGCCCTCGTGAGCATGCTAAATGTGGAGGGGGCATGCAGTGAAGCCAGTGGAATAGTGTTATGCTGATGCTGTGACAGAAAGCAGAGATAAAAGATGTGTTCTGAGCCGGGTGTGGTAGAACACCCCTGTAATCCCAGCACTCAGAGAGGCAGAGGCAGGCAGATCTCTGTGAGTTGAAGGCCAGCCTGGTCTACAAAACAAGTCCAGGACAGCCAGGACTACACAGAGAAAGAAAAAAACAAAACAAAAACAAAAAATGTGTTCAGATCCCATAGTTCAGAGGATTCCCCAGAAGAACCAGTTCTTGCACTGTTACTGAAAAGATTAAGAACCAAGTCCAGAAGGGAGATGTTGACCCTTCAGAGACCAGAGTTTCCCAGGTAGAAGCAGAGTAGATAACACTATGGAACAAGAGACAAGAAAAATGGTTTCAGGCTACTCCGCTCATATTAGTTACTTTCCTGTGCTCTGATAAAACCCCATGATCAAAGCAACATATAGAAGAAAAAGTTTATCGGGCTTAGGATCCAGAGGGATAAGAACTATCATGGCAGGAAGTCATTGCAGTAAGCAGAAGGCTTCATATCAGCAGAGAGATTACATCCTCAACAACAAGCAGGAAGCAGAGAGTGAACCAGGAACAGGGTGAGGCAATGAGCCCTCAAAACGTACACCTCCTCCAGCAGGGCCACCTCTCCGGACAGCACCATCTACTGGGCACTAAGGATCCAAATGCCCGAGCCTATGGGGACATTCCTCATTCAACCGAGCAAGCCTCCATTTGTCAGCAGTGTGAAGGACATCGGTAAAGTAGAAAATCTGGAGGCGATGGTCCTATCTGGGAACGTGACCAATAGCCTACGCCCAAGGAGCTGAGATAGAGAGGCAGGCACAGACAAGAGATGTTTCACAGAGACAATCAGTGAGAAGCTAAGTCTGGGGCTGATGAGCTAAGGGTCAGTCAAGGTGACCATGCTGGCACCTTGGCGATTATCTCTTCCTTCCATCCCATCATCACAAAGCCGAAAAGTCACACCAAAGTGTCGTCTGTATTATATGACATGAAGTATACATAAGATTCCTTATTACTATCTGTGTTTGCTTCATAAGTCTCTGAAATGAGGGAAAATTGAAACCAATATTTAGAACTTTTCTCCCTCCTCACTAGTTCCGGTTTATGGTTTGGGTCCTCTCCCTTTGGTTCCTGTATCACTTGATTTCTTCTTTCTGGGACAAAATCCCTGACAGAAATGACTTGAGGATGGAAGGGTGTCTTCTGACCTGCAGGTTGAGAGGGTGTAACCTGTCACAGCAGCAGAAGTCACGGCAGTGCAAACTCCGTGTAGCTCCTCATCTGTGTCTTCAGTCATATTTCCAATGCCAAGAGAGAGGAATGAATTCATAATACAGCCTGAGTGTCATTCCACTGTGTTTAGCCATTTCTCCATTTTTATTCAGTTCAGGAGGCTGGGGCACGGGGTGCCTCCCATTCAGGGTCTCTCTTCCTGAGTTGAATGTGTAAAAACTAGAGGTGTACCTCCTGGGCGATTCTAAGTCTTGTAAAGTTGGCAATATCAGAGCTCTATGTGTGCTTGTCGTGATCCTCTGAGGGATTATGGATGCTCAGAAGGGATTGTATCTCTGTCTTTTATCCCCAGACCAAGGATAGAGCTTGAACTTCATTAGACACGTGTATCTACTGACTGGGCACAGTATTGGGTTTTGCTGTTCTTCTTTAAAACTCCAGGGGAAAAAAATCATTTTGTGCATCTACACCAAGCGTGTGTGAAGAAAAGGCTGGCGATGAAGTCAGAGCAAGTGACCTTACCCCAGAAGGGTGGGGGTGAGACTTTTGAGGCTTTCTTACTCCACAGCCCTAGAAGCCCCAACGTACTAAGAAGACCCTCTTGTCTTTCTGAGCCGTACCCTGATTCTTTAGCTGGCACACTGGTTGTGCAGGTGTATCTGTAGAGATGCAAATAGCTCTCCACTTCTTTCTTCCTTCAGTGTGGGGTGTCCTGAGGCACCTGTGCAGCCCCTGCAGATCTGAACTGAGCTGTTCAAAGCAATTTGAATTTTTGAATATTTTTAATTTCTTACCCCCAAATTAGACCAGGCTCATGGATTTTGGTCAGCCTTAACAGAGGTAGCTGAATAAGCATTTGGAAGAGGCTGGATTATATCCCTGTGAAAGGATAATT